CATCACTATTAATATCTTTTCTACAGATAATTTGAGTACTATTGCTATTAGTAATACTACTACCAGTAATTCTTGACGCTTCGCTGCGCCGCCCCTTGACGCCGCCCAGCATTTTCGCCGCGGTCGCGATCAAAAGTATCCCCACCAGCCCATTCAGTAACGATGCCCATGAGAGATGACCGAGGGAGAGAGGAAGAGACACGCATAGTCAAACAGCGAGGGAGGCCGGCCTGGACGGCGTGTTGAGGCCATCTCCGGGCCCGCGTCGGGGCGGGGGCGAAGAGAAGGAGGAGAAGGAGGAGGAGGAGGAGGAGGAGGAGGAGGAGGAGGAGGAGGAGGAGGAGGGAGGAGGCAAGAGGAGCAAGACGAGGAGGAGGAGGAGGATGAGGAGGACGAGGACAAAGAGAGTGAAGAGGAGAAGGCGGAGGAGGCATCTGGAGGCCTCGGAAGGCCATCGAAAGCAAAATGGCGAGAAGTCCAAATTCTTGGATTTTCATCAGATTTTTGCAGGATGTTGGCCTCTTGGCGGCCTCCTGGGGAGGCTCCGTGGCCATTTCAAGCCGTCTTGGAGCGGTCTCGGGGCCTCTTGGGGCATCTTGGGACCATCTTGAGCCAACTTGGACTATTTTGAGCCATCTTGGAGGTCATCTTGGGCTCTCTGAGGACGCTTGGGGACCACTCGGGGGCCTCTTGGGGGCCTCTCGGGGGCCTCTTGGAGCCCTTTTGGGGCCTCTTGGGGCGCTCGTGGGACCCTCTTGGGGGCCTCTTGGGAGCCCTGGAGGGCCTCTAGGGGCCATCTCGGATGCGGTCGGTCAAAAGAGGGGGGGTACTGAATGTTCGTTGCCCCCTCGGAGGCCACGATCCTCGTGAGGGGGGTCAGAAATTGGCCCTCCCAGGGGCCGACAGAGGACCCTCTGACACCTCGCGGCCCCCTCCCAAAAATCTGAGGGAGGGGAGGGGGAGGGTTCCCCTCTCCGAGGGGAGGAGGGGTTGTGGAAGAGGAAAGAGACCCTCGTCAAACCACCTGTCGCCCAAAAGGCTGGTGGGATTGCCTCTTGGGCCCCTCTTGGAGCGCTTTCGGTGCGCTCTTGTGCGCTCTTGGGGCCGTTTTGGGGCTCTCTTGGGCCTCTCTTGGGGCCCTCTTGAGCCATCTTGGAGCCATCTTCCAGCCATCTTGAAGCCCCGTAAGGCCATCGAAAGCAAAAAGGCGAGGAGGCCAGATGCATTTGTTTTCGCTACGTTTTTGCAGGATTTGGGCATCTCCTGGGGAGGCTCCGTGGCCCTCTTGAGCCGTCTTGAAGCGGTCTTGGGGCCTTTTTGGGCATCTTGGGAGCCATTTGGAGCTAGCATGGACTATCTTGAGCCATCTTGGAGGTCATCTTGGGCTTTCTGAGGCCCCCCCGGGGGCCACTCGGGCTCTTTGGGCCCTCTTTGGGGCCTCTTGGGGGTCCTGGAGGGCCTCTAGGGGCCATCTCGGAGGCGGTCGGTCAAAAGAGGGGGGGTACTCGATTTGCGTCCCCCCCTCGGGGGCCATGATCCTCGTGAGGGGTGGCAGAAATGGCCCTCCCAATGGCCGAAAACGGAGCCTCCGACACCTCGCGATCCCTCCTGAAAAACCTGAGGGAGGGTTCCCCTCCCCGAAGGGAAGAGGGATTGTGGAAGAGGAACAAGACTCTCGTCATACCACCTGTCGCCCAAAGGGCTGGTGGGATTTTATCAGAAGAAGAAGAAGAAGACTAAGGATGGAGGAACAGGGAGGAGGAGAAGGAAAAGGAGGAGGATGAGGAGGAGGAGGAGGAGGCCTCTGGGGAGCCTCTTGGGGGGCCTCTTGAAGGCCTCTTGGGGGCTTCTGGGGGCCTTGTGCAGCCTGCCGGGGCTCCCTGGAAGTTTTTGTTTGTTTGTTATTTTTTTGCGAGTTTAGGACGCTTCTGGCCCGTCTGCCGCCGTCGGACGCCGTTTTGGCGGCCTCTCTGGGCCGACTTGGGGCCCTCTTGGGGCGCTTCAGGGCCGTCTTCGAGACCATCTTCGGCGTGTTTTGGAGGTCTCCTGGGCCGTTTTGAGGCCCCCTTGGGCCAGCTTGTGGGCCTGTTGGTCCGTCAGGGGGCCATCTTGGAGGGCTCCTGGGCGCTCTTGGGGCCATCCAGATGGCCTCTGGGGCGGTCTTGGGCCGTCGGAAAGCCGAAAATGAGCAAGCGCCCAAATCCATCAGAAACCTAAGGAGCGTCAATGATTTCGACCTCTGCGGGCTTCCGTGGAGGTCCTCTTGGGCTTCGGCCGTCTTGGGCGATCCTGAGGCCATCTTTGCCCATCTTGCGGGCATCTCGGCCCGTCTTGGAGATATCTTGAGGCTATCTCGGGCTTTCTTGGGGCAAGCGTAGCCGTCTTGGAAACCATCTTGGCCGTCTTGGAGGCCCTCTTAGGGCTTTCTCGAGCAGGAAGGCCGACGACATCGGAAGTTTACGGGTCCTCGTGGAGGCGAGTTTTCCGTTTTTTCTCTTCCTTGTGCGTCCTTAGCGCGTTCTTCTGGGCGGCTGGCTGGATAGGCCGAAGGCCCCTGGGAACGCTTCAAACGAAGGAGCAACAACTACCTAACCTTTGGGACGCCGTGCACTCCTGTGGCAAGCCACAGGGGGCGGCGGATCGAAGACGCCTACGGCGAATCACCGCCGCCCCTTGCCTTTCGGAAGCGCCTATGTGGCCGAACGTTGCGGCTGGAGCTTGGCTAAGCTATCGGACTACGTGTTCCCCCTCGCCGTTGCGGAAACGCTTCGGGGAACACGTGGGGGAGAAACAAGAAGAGGAGGAGAGGGAGGATAAATGATGATGATGATGAGAATGATAATGATGATGCTGATGATGATGATGATGATGATGATGATGATGATGATGATGATGATGATGATGATGATGATGATGATGATGATGATGATGATGATGATGATGATGATGATGATGATGATGATGATGATGATGATGATGATGATGATGATGATGATGATGATGATGATGATGACGATGATGATGATGATGATGATGCTGATGATGATGATGATGATGCTGATGATGATGATGATGATGATGATGATGATGATGAGATGACGATGATGATGATGATGATGATGATTGTGATGATGATGATGATGATGATGTGATGATGATGATGATGATGATGATGATGATGATGATGATGATGATGATGATGATGATGATGATGATGATGATGATGATGCTGATGATGATGATGAGGATGATGGATGATGAGGGAGGAGGAGAGGAGAGGAGGAGAGGAGAGGAGGAGGAGGAGGAGGAGGAGGAGGAGGAGGGAGGAGGAGGAGGAGGAGGAGGAGGAGGAGGAGGAGGAGGAGGAGGAGGAGGGAGGAGGAGAGGAGGAGGGAGGAGAGAGAGGAGGAGGATGAGGAGGAGGAGGAGAGGAGGAGGAGGAGGAGGCCTCTTGGGAGCCTCTTGAGGCACTCTTGGGGCCTTCGTGGAGCTTTCTGGGTGCCTCTTGGAGGCCGCTTGAGGGCTCTTGGGGGCCTTTGGAGGCTCTTTGGCCGCCTGAGGGCACTCCTGGTCCGTCTGACGTCGTCGGACGCCGTTTTGGCGGCCTCTCTGGGCCGACTTGGGGCCCTCTTGGGGCGCTTCAGGGCTGTCTTGGAGACCATCTTGGGCGTCTTGGAGGCCTCCTGTGCCGTTTTGAGGCCCTCTTGGGGCCATCATGAGAGCCTCCTGGGCCGTCAGGGGGCCATCTTGGAGGTCTCCTGTGCGCTCTTGGGGCCATCCTGGTGGCCTCTTGGGCCGTCTTGGTCCGTCGGAAAGCCGAACGTGAGCAAACGCCCGACTTCTTCAGAAACTCAAGGATCGTCAATGATTTCGGCCTCTGCGGGTTTTCCTGGAGGTCCTCTTGGGGGCCTCTTGGGCCGTCTTGGAGGCCTCTTCGGCCGTCCTGGGTGATCTTGAGCCCATCTTTGCCCATCTCGCGGGCATCTCGGTTCGTCTCGGAGATATATTGGTGCCATCTCGGGCTCTCTTGGGGCCATCATGGCCGTCTTGGGGACAATCTTGGCCGTCTTGGAGGCCCTCTTAGGGCCGTCTGGAGCGGGAAGCCGACGACCTGGGAAGTGAATGGCGGATTGGGCCGAAGGCCCTTGGGAACTTTTCTAAAAATGACCAACAATTACCTAACGCTCGGCACGGTGTGCACCTTTGTGGCAAGCCACAGGGGGCGGCGGATCCAGTGGCCTTCGGCCAATCCCGCCACCGTGCCTGGGTCGTGGACCACAGGCCTCTTAGAGGCCTCTTAGGGCCTCTTGGAGGCCTCTTTGGGGCCCTTGGGGGGTTTCTTGGAGGCCTCCTGGGGGCCACTGAGGCCGCCGGGGGCTTCTTCGTCGGCCTCAGTCAGGAGCGGATGTTTTTTTTCATTGCTCTTGTCTCCCCCTTATTCCGTCCCTCCTTTCCCCCCGTCCGTGGTCACCCCCTTCGTTTGTCCACATGGAAGACTTTTGCCAACGTCCAGGTGGAAGGCGACAGACCGCGTGGGTGTTGTCGACAGGGCACTCTCCTACAAAGAGCGACAATGAGGGGATATGGTACGCAGTTTTGCTCCTCCTTGTCGAACGCAGTGCGGCTCTACCAGCAGAGTCCATTCACATCTCCTTTGTTTGCTGCCTTTGCGACGCGTTCAGAGTCAAGTCTGGTGATCATTGGTAGTTTTCCGCGCCGCCTCCAAACTCTGTTTGGGATTTGCCCCTGCTTCGACACACTGTCCATCAATCCCATCAGGGGCGGGCGGCTTCCGGTAACGGACAAGGGATCTTAGGATGGAGCCAGGGGGCGGGCGGGAGCGCGGCTGCGGGCCGTGCGCCATCTGAACGCACCTTTGCTGCTGCTGCTTGCTGCCATTCCTGCTGGTCATGCTATGCTGCTGGTGCCCCTCCGCGTCGTCGTCGTCGTCGTCGTCGTCGTCGTCGTTCTCGTTCTTCTCCTGCTCCCATCCTTCGAAGCCTGCCAGGACGCGTGGGTTCCGCGCCTCATCGCACAAGAGCCACTCGCAGGAGGCCGCCACCTCGCTCCGTGCGTACGAGTCCTCGTACCTCGAGCTGGAGACGGCCGAGGTCCGGAACCGCGAACCGCCTGGCACCCACGAGCTAGAAACACATTGACATTGACAGGTGTTTGTGCATATATATATATATATATGTATAGATATGTATATGTATATATATATATATATGTCTCTCTCTATATATATATGCTCGCCCCCCTATGATCATACACGTGGTCTTCTTTCTCCTCATCCTAATCATCCTTCCCCCCATCCTCGTCCTCCTCCCTCCTCCTCTTCCTCCTCATCCGCCTCATTCTCCTCCTTCTCTTCCTTCCCATCTGCCTAAGTATCCTTGTTGTGAAGGGTTTCAACGCGAATCCTTCTGTTGATGATTTCAATAAGAATCCTTATGTGGAGGATTTCAATCGGAATCTTCCTGTGGAGGATTTCCTCCTTCCTCTTCCTCATCCGCCTCATGTTTCCTTACCCTCCTCCTTATCCGCCTACTTCTCCTTCTTGTGAAGGGTTTCACTAGGAACCCTGCTGTGTAGGATTTCACTAAGAATCCTTTTGTGGCGGTTTTCAATAAGAACCTTCTCGTTCGCCTCATCTTCCACCGCCGTCTCAGCCGCCTGATTCTGCTTTTTGTTAAGGGTGCCACTAGGACTCCTTTGAGAAGGGGGCAGGATGAATGGCGAGGAGCAGGAATTTCAGGGGGAAATGGAGGAGGAGGACCATGAGGAGGAAGACGAGGAGGATGAGGAGCATCAGGAAGGCAACGGTCAACAAATGACTCACAACACCACTTGCGAAGCTGCGTTCGCAACTACATGTGTGAGTAACGCCTGGAGGCGGAGAGGAGCGGACAGGTTGAACTGGAGGAAGAGAAGATGGAGGAGGAGGTGGGTGAGGAGAAAGAGGAGGTAAATGAGGGAGAACAGGAGGGTGAGGAGAATGACAATTGTGAGGCGGAACGCGTTTCGCACAAAACTAGTTGTGGAGAGCCATTCACACATAGTTTTGCGAGTAGTGTCTCGTAGCGGGAGGTTGCTCGCACAACTAGTTGTGCAGCTGATATCACAACTAGATTTGTGAGTAACACCTCGAAGCGGAGAGGAGGGGGCAGAGTGAAGAAGAGCAGGATGAGCAGGAGGAGCAGGAAGAAGAGGAAGAGGAGAGTAGGGGCCAGAATGAAGAGGAGCAGGAGGAGCAGGAGGAGCAGGAGGAGCAGGAAGAAGAGGAAGATGAGGAGGGTGATGAGCATGACAAATGCGGGGAGAGAAACCATTACTCACAGATCTAGTTGTGGAGCGGCGTTCACAGCTAGCTTTGCGAGTAATTTCTCGAAGCGGGAGGTTGCTTGCAAACCTAGTTGTGCAGCTGATTTCACAACTAGATTTGTGAGTAACGCCTCGAAGCGGAGAGGAGGGGGCAGAAGGAATAAGAGCAGGAGGAGCAGGAGGAGCAGGAAGAAGAGGAAGAGGAGAGTAGGGGCCATCATGAAGAGGAGCAGGAGGAGCAGGAGGAGTAGGAGGAGCAGGAAGAAGAGGACGATGACGAGGGTGAGGAGCATGACGAAGGTGGGGAGAGAAACCATTACTCACAGATCTAGTTGTGGAGCGGCGTTCACAACTAGTTTTGTGAGTAATTTCTCGAGGCGGGAGGTTGCTCGCAAAACTAGTTGTGGAGTTATTTCCACAACTAGATTCGCGACTAACGCCTCGAAGCGGAGAGGGAATGGCAGAATGATCAGGAGCAGGAGGAGCATGAGGAGCAGAATGAGCAGGAGGAGCAGGACGAAGAGGAAGATGAGGGCGAGGATCACGACGAAGGTGGTGAGAGACCCATTGCTGCGTTCACATATAGATTTGTGTGCAGCTGCGTTCACACTTAGATTTGTAACGCCTCGAAGCGGAGAGGAGGGGGCAGACCGAAGACGAGCAGGAGGAGCAGGAGGAGCAGAAGGAGGAAGACGAGGAGGGCGAGGAGCATGACGATGTTGAGGGGGAACTCATTACTCACAAGAACTAGTTGTGGAGCGGCGTTCACACATAGTTTTGCGAGTAGTGTCTCGTAGCGGGATGTTGCTCGCAAAACTAGTGTTGTAGCTGAGTTCACAAGTAGATTTGTGAGTATCGCCTCGAAGCGGAGAGGAGGGGGCAGCATGAAGAAGAGCAGGAGGAGCAGGAGGGGAGCGTAGCAGGAGGAGCAGGAGGAAGAAGAGGATAGTGAGGAGCATGACGAAAGCGTGGAGGAACACGTTACTCACCGAACTAATTGTGGAGCGGCGTTCACAACTAGTTTTGCTAGTCGTGTTCCGTACCTGGAGGTTCCTCGCAAAACTAGTTGTGCAGCTGCGTTTACAACTAGATTTGTGAGTATCGCCTCGAATCTGAGAGGAGGTGGCAGAATGAAGAGGAGCAGGAGGAGCAGGAGGGGAGAGGAGAGTGAGGAGCATGACGACGACGAGAAGGAGCTCATTACTCACAAAACTAGTTGTGGAGCGGCGTTCACAATTAGTTTTGCGAGTAGTGTCTCGTAGCGGGAGGTTGCTCGCAAAATTAGTTGTGCAGCTGCGTTCACAACTAGTTAGAAGAGGTTCCAAGAAACATTGTTTTCCCGTCGGCTTTTGACGGATTTTAGAGTTCTCAGCCTTTTGGCATCCCGACGCTCCAAGACGGCCCAAGTGGCCCCCACGGCCGCTCCAAGATAGCCGAAGAGGTCTCCAAGAGGGCCCCATGACGGCCCACGAGGGCCCTAAGACGGTGCCCGAGGTGCCCAAGACGGCCCGAGAGGGCCCCAAGAGAACCCCAAGAAGGGGAATGCGAACCCAACAGCAGAGCTTTCCGCCCTAAGAGGCCCACAGGAGGCCCCAAGAGTCCCCAAGTGGTCCGACGAGGCCCCCCCAAAGCCCCCTACCAGGCCCCGAAAGGCTCATAGGAGACGTACACGGGGCCCCAATATAGCCGAACAGTGCTCTCGATGCATCAAGAATGCTTCAAGGAGGCCCCGGGAGGCTTCCAGATTGCCCCAATGTGGCCTCAAGCCGGGCCTCCACGCAGCCAAGACGGCCAATTGATTGCTTCAGACTGCAGAACATCACTTTCCGACTGCCCGGAGAACCCTGACGATGCCCCCAAGGGACCCCAAGAAGCCCCAAGATGCCCCCCCGAGAAGCACCCAAGAGGTGCCTCCAACAGCCAATTGAGGAAACACGGAAAACCCCCCAGAAGCCCTTCAGATGCCCCCACGAAGACCCAAGAGGTTCCCAAGAGGCCTTCAGGAGGCACGACTATGTCACGCGCCTGTGCTTGATAGCGCTGTCCAAGATCTTCTAGCGCGCCCCCAGCCTGGGCTAGAACCTGAGCGCGCGCGAAGCGCGCACGATGGTTATATTACGTATATAGATACATATATACCTATACATTTATGGCTACATCTTACCAATGTATAGTTGCACAAGGATGTGTGTTTTTTTTATGCAGGTGTTCATGCTTATATATACATATATATATGTAAATGTCTATGTAGATGCAGCTGCATCAGGATACGTGTATATATGTTCACGTGTATGTGTATGTGTATGTGTATGTGTTTGTACGTATGAGAAAGGGAGACCAGACATCTTTGCCCCCGATCTCTTTCTCTGCCTATCCCTCTCTCTCTCTCTTTCTCCCTCTCTACCTGTATACACACATCCCTCTCCCTCTCGCTCTCCCTGAATACCTCAGTCTCTTGCTCTCTCTATCATTATTGCTCTCATTCTTGTTTTCTTGCTCTTGCTCATAATATTGCACTTGCTCTTGCTCTTGCTCTTGCTCTCTGTCTCTCTCTCTCTCTTCTCTTTCTCTTCCGCATCGGAAAGTGGGGGGGGGGCACGAACAGAAGAAACAGTGTGGACGTGGCGGCCGTGGATGGGGGGGGAAAGAGGGAGAGGAGGAGGAGTAGTAGGACGATTCATGTCCTTGTCCTCAACTTCTTTCTCCGCTCTCCTCCTCCTTCTCCTTCTCCTCCTTCTCCTTTTCCTGCTTGTCCTCCCTGTGTTTTTCCTCGTCCTCTTGCGCCACCTCCACTAATGCTTCGTCTATTACGAATCGTACCATTGCTATTGAGATGATCACTACGGAAAGAACTAACAATCATATTACATCATCGGCTTCCTCCTCCTCCCGCTACCATACCATGTTCTCCTCCTCCTCCTCCTCCCTCTTCCTCATTCCCACTCCAAGAAGGAATTACGGAGAGGAGGGAGGAGTAGGATGAGTCCAACTACTTCCTCTCCTCCCCCCCGGCGTCTTCATCTTCTGTCCCAGCAAATGAATCTTCGTTGTCTCCGAGGAAGAGGAGGGGTAGGAAGGAGGAGGAGGAGGATGAGGAGGAGGAGGAGGAGGAGGAGGAGGAGGAGGAGCAGCACCAGCAGAAGGAGGGGAACGATAGTATTATGATGCCAGTGACGATGATGATGCTCATGGCAATTCTGGTGATCATGATGGTGCTAAGGATGAGGGGCAACAGCAGAAGGAGAAGCAACCGTACTTTATCAGGAGGAGGAAGAGGGATGAAAAGGAGGAGCCTCCTCCTTCTCTTCTTCTTCTTCTTCTTCTTCTTCCTCCTCCTCCTCCTCCTCCTCCTCCCATTGTTTCCTTCGCTTCCTTCTAATCGTTCCCCGAGGATGCGGAGGATCAGGAGGGGCAGGAAGAAAAAGAAGAGGGGCAGGGAGGGAGGAGGATGAGGAGGAGCCCCCAAGGATAATGAGGATGCTGGGGGAGGATCGTACGAGGAGTGGGGATGAGGAGGAATACTAATAAGGAAGGGGGTAGGAATGAGAGCACATTCATCAGCATGATGATGAAATTGAGGAGGTCGAGGGCGAAAGGGGGTGAAGGGAGAGGAACATAAGTAGCAGTATGAGTTACGAGTAAGCGTAGCAATAACAGAGTAGGAGTAGAGCTAGCAGCACGCAAACCGATGTGGAACATCAGTGTGTGCTGTTGGGGGTCGGGGGCTGCGCATAAGTTTACATATATAGTATGCACACGTATTTACACACCCGCGTACATGCGGTTGCAGAGATGCAGGCGCTCACACTCAGAGAGACAGAGACGGGCAGACAGGGTGGTGCTTGTGGCATCCTGGAGGTCGAGCAGGTGGCGCCCGCGAAGCCGGTGCGTGTCCGCTTCGCCCCGTCCCCGACGGGCGTCCTCCACGTCGGGGGGGCCAGGACGCCACCCGGCTGAAAGCCCGGCGACAGCCCAGGCCCAGGGCGACGCTGCACTGAATCATGCGAGCAGGCGGCTCCTTCGCCGTTGTGTCCGGGAGCCCGGCGAGGGCCTCGGAGCGGGGGCAAGCTCATCCAAGCGGCCTCCCACAGGGCAGGCTGTGGTGGCCTGGAGGCTGAACTGGCAGAGTTAGCGACGGGTCTGTCTCGTCACGGGGGGGCCTAGACAAAGGTAACACCTTTCCCCGTAGGCAGCCCTGGGGGTCCTCTGCGGTGACGGGAAGAGCCAACAGTTCCCATGTAATGCCTTGTATTCCATCGACGGCCCTCCCTCCATGGGGGCCCTTCCGCCCTGGGAGACAGCGCAGCTCCCTTCACGACGACGGCCCTAGGATCTTTCTTCTACGCAGGGGACTCTTCTCAATCGACACAGCTTCTTGCATACTCGAGGAATGCACGCAGAGTCCATGTGTAGATCCGCATGAGCTCCGAGCGAATTCAGGCGGCATCCAAGAACATCCGCGGGGAGTCCGAGAGAAGCCAGGCATACCCATCCGCCCAAGCTCTGGCAGGCACGCCTCCCTCTGCTCTGGGCCACTCCTGCGCTCTGCAGCCAGCGAGAGGACGGCGCTCTTCAACTGGCTCTTCGCGAAGTCCCAGGGCGGCCAGCTGGTGCTGCGAGTGGAGGACACCGACGTCGCTCGGTCCACGGAGGAGTGCCGTGGCCGCTCCTCCTTCCAAAGGGAGCGCCCCCGGAGCAGGCAAGCAGACCCTGGCTGGCCGAAGAGGCAGCCAGATCGGGGGCAACGATTTGGGGTCTCGGCGTTCTGCCCCTCCGCGCAAGCCGAGGGAGGTCCGCACAGTCTAGTGGTGGGAGTGGAGTGCACCAGAGTCAGATATAGTGTCATCCCAGTGTCGTGACCAGGCTCCAGACGGAGGGTCCTGCTCGCAGGACCCTTACGAGCAAGCCCTCCGTCGGGTGCAGGATAGTGCTGAAGGTGCTGGGTCGTGTGCAAAGGTTGGCCCCCGCCACGCACCATGGCGGCGACACCAGGGTACGGCTGAAGGACGTACACGTTGGCTTCGCCGAGGGGCGGTCCTTGAGATCTTCTGAGCCCAGCGCGAGCGGATAGGCACAGGGGGGGATGCATCGACCCCCAATCGCCCATTGATCGCCGAAGGGGGCCCGATAGCCCCAACCTGCACAGGAACGTGCGGACTCACTCTCGGTGGATCTATCGGCGATGTATCGCCGATTCCAGGTCGATGCATCCCCCCTATGCCGGTCCCCCCCTATCGCTGCCCCTCACCAGAACCAATGTCTCCAGCGTCGTTCCGAGCTGCCTGGCCAGGGTCTGCTCGGCTGCCGCTGGGACTTCGCCTGGCTCCCGTGGCGGAGCGGAGCGGACGCGGGAGGAGTCCGAGGACGCGATCCTGGAAGGCCTGAGGTGGTGCGGCATCGACTGGGACGAGGGGCCCGACGTGGGCGGCCCCAAGGGGCCGTACAGGCAGTCGGAGCGGATCAAGGCCGGCGTATACCAGGAGCAGCTGGACAAGCTGCTGGCCCAGGGAAACGCGTACAAGTGCTTCCTCACCCCAGAGGAGCTGGACGCCATGCGCGCGGAGGCGGAGAGGAACGAGGTCGCCTTCGTGGTGGACAGCCCGTGGAAGAACGCCACTAAAGAGGAGATTCAGGAGATTCGCCATGAAGCAGACGGGTCCTGAGGGAAACGGGGCTTGAGGTTTTCCTGCGTTTTCGGGCTCTCAGGCATCTGCACGGGCCCTGGGACCATACACAACGACTCGGGGATTTAGCTTTGTCCCGGGGGAAGAGCATAGGGTCCATGGCTCGTTTCTCTTAGGACCCGCTTCTTTCATGCCAAGGAGATGCTCGACAAAAATGTTCCGTTCGTCTACCGCTTCCGGATCCCCTACGACGAAGAGATTGTGATTGACGACGCGGTCCTCGGAGAAGTCACATGGAATTCGGACGACTTGGGAGGTGACTTCATCATCATGCGACAGAACGGCATGCCGATGTACAATTTCGCCGTCGTCGTCGACGACGCCCTGATGGATATCACATACGTGCTGCGCGCGCAGGAGCACCTCATGAACACTCCCCGACAGTACCTCATTTACAAAGCCCTGGGTCTGCCCGTGCCGAAGTTCGGGCACATGCCCCTGATCCTGGCGCCGGATCGCAGCAAACTCTCCAAGAGGCACGGCGCTGTCTCCGTGGGACAGTATGCGCAGATGGGCTTCCTGCCCTCTGGGCTCGTGAACTACCTTGCCCAGCTCGGCTGGAACGACGGCACCAACAAGGAGATCTACGACACCAGAGAGCTGCTGGATGCCTTCACGCTCGACCGCATGAGCAAGGTGGCCGCGATCTTCGACACGGACAAGCAGGGCTGGACCTAAACGGTGTTTTTGGTGATTTTGTGGGCCGTTTTCGTTTCGACTTCGTTTTGCGGTAAAGGCGGATTCAAGACAAAAGCGAGGGAAGACGAACATAAAACGAAAACGAACAACACCGTTTAGGCTCAGCCCTGAAGGACAAGTGCAAGTGGGTGAATGGACACCACATCCGGCTTCTGCCAGACGAGAAATCCGAGGAGCTCATCGGTGGCGAGCTCGTGAAGCAGGGCCTGGCCAAGGAGGCCTCGGGGGAGTTTGTCAGAAGGGCGAGCGCGCTGCTGCGCGACCGCATCGGCACCCTCACCGAGGCGGGCGAGGAGCAGATCGGGGGGGAAGGGGAGGGAGTGCGGGAGGGAGGGAGGCAGGCCGGGAGGACGGAGGTCTAGAGATGAGCGGGGCGAAAGGTAAAGGCCTGGTCTAGGTCCTAGGGTCGCCTTGCAGCGAAAGCACCGCTGGCCAAACGGTGGCATACAGAGAACAGCATCAAAACGAGTAGATTCGCGGGCCTCAAAGGAACCTGCTCTGGGGAGCCACTCGTCCCGCTCCGAACCCGTACGACATGGCGAGTTGCGCTGCAGGGCAGTCGTCAGTTTTCTGGATGACGCCAGGCTTTACACTTCCACCTCTCCTCGAGGAGCTCAAGAGAATGATGGCCTACGACCTCGAAGGGATGCTGGCCTCCGACAAGGCCAAGCAGTGGTTAGAGGACGGGTCGCTCAAGGAGACGGCCGCGCTCCTTGTCGAGGCGCACGCGCGCGGCGACTTCGACGCCGTCAGCAGCGACACCGCCGTGCTGAAGGAGATCGCCAAGGCACAGGGCAGATCTTGTGCCCCCGCCCCTCTCCTGCTCGTCCCCCCCCCTGGTCTGGAGGAGGAGGAGGAGGAGGAGGAGGAGGAGGAGGAGGAGGAGGAGGAGGAGGAGGAGGAGGAGGATGACATCCGAGTTCCGAGTTCCGAGTTCCCTTCCCCCTCTCCTGCCCTCCCGTCTCACCTCGCCGTCTGAGGCCGCCCAGGTCCGGGCCCGGCGCATGCTCGCTCTGCGTGGCTTGCGGGGCACTGCGGGATCCTGGGGCTTCCTCCTCCCCCTGCCCCTCTCAGTGGCCCCCAAACGGGGTGGTGACCACACCGTGCGGTGAGTCAGTGGGGATTCGGGGTCACCGCACGGTTTTGGGACTCGAGTCCCTCTCCGAGGACGTCTCGGGCGTCAGGGGCCTCCGAGGTTCCAAAACCGTGCGGTGACGGACCGTGCGGTGAGGTGTTTTGGGGTTCCGAGGTCACCGCACGGCCTGTCATCGCACCGCTTCGGGACTCCAAACTCTCCCAGAGGGTACAGTGAAAGCCCATGCCAAGAATCATCCTGCTTGCCTCCAGGGTGCCCTGGGTGCCTTGGGTCGCTATGGTTTTGCCATGGAAGGCGTGACGTTGCCACACCAAAAATCAATGGACGTCCCGCGGTCGCAGGGTTGGGTTTCTCGTGGAAGGCTACTTGTGGACTGGCGTCCACTGTAAGTCGGCGGCGACATCCGCACCCTACCCTCGACGAGCAGCGACTCGGGCAGCTCGACGGGCGGCGGCCAGGGCGCGGAATTCGTCGAGCACGTGGCGAGGTCCGACCCCCACCCCGGCCTCCCACTGGTTCAGGAGAACGGATGGCTGGTGGGGGCGCAGTGGAGGCCCGTCCACAAGAAGCCTTCCACAAGAAGCCCAACCCTAAAGACCCCAGGACGTCCACTGTTTTTTTGGGTGGGAACGTCACGCTTTCCATGGCAAGCCCATAGAGACTCAAGACACCAACGGCACCCTGGAGGCAAGCAGGGTGTCCCTTGGCATGGGCCTCCACTTTAGGGCTCGGAGGTCGCCACCTAGCAAGGGTGGAGTGCGGCAGGCGCAGGCGCCAGTTTGCGGCCCACGCCAGGGCATCGGGGAGGCGAGGGGCGGCGCCAAGAAGAAGAAGCTGCTGGTGCCCCTGAGGCTCTGCCTCACCGCGGACGACACGGGCCCTGACATGGGAAGATTTTTCCACATGCTGAGCTGCGTCGACGACGGCGTGACCTGCGAGTCTGTGAGCCTGGACAGGCGCATGGAGCTCCTCAAGGAGAAGTTCGAGCTCTGATGGCGCGAGCTGCTCGAGCCGCGTGCCAGCGATGGGGACGAGAGGTCTACGTTGTGAGGTGACCCTCCTATCTTTGTTTCAGGGAGAGCTGGGAGTGGAGGTGGGAGGATGATCACTTCACTAGGTAGATTTCTCAGACCTAAGGTTTCTCAAACATCAGATCCGATTTTCTTGTTGCAGTTGCTGCCAGACGGATTTTTCAAGCGGGCGCACGTACGTGCAGATGACCAGCCTTTGTACCTTGTCTGGACAGTTTTGACGTTTCGGGCGAAATGTGTCATCATGGCGCAGCGCCCAACCATCACCCTCGCACCTCGTGCAAAGATTCTTGGCTGTCGTTGGCGAGATAATTTCTTGTGCGAATCGTGAGCTTCCAGGTGCTGAGATCGGCGGCAAGTTTTCTCGTAATCTGGCTCAAGGGCGCGTCGCACTCCCTGCTTTTGCAGGGGTCACCACTTCTGGGGGGGGGCAATTTGGACGCGACAACCACGCTCCGAAGCTCGCGTACAGCTGCTGGGAGTGCCGCCTCTCCGTTAGAGTGTAGCAGGGAAGGTGCCAGCGGATTTTTCCACCTTCATGGGGACCTGTTCGGCCGAGTATCGGGTTGGATGTCGGTGCCCAGAGCTTCCATGACGGACTCCAAACTCTGCTCCGACCCACCTCGAGGAAGTGCTCGGCAGTGGAACTCCGAGAGCCCGCACAGCCAGGATCGATTGTGGACCCACGGTGAGGTCTGGTGTCGCCCCTGTGTAGCTCTCGCGGCCAGTCCGAGAGCCCCCCGCCGTTCTGGATTCAGCCACTTGCTCCCGAGCCTCGATTCGGCCCTCTGAAGTGAACACTCCCATCTGGACCCTCAGGACGTGTTCTCCAGTCTTGCGATTCGTTTTCTGGTTTCAGTGCAGGCCTCAAGGAGCCGCTTGGGTCCATGACGGCGCCTGCACAGAGCTCTCCGCGAGGCGCGGCTGCCAGGACGGGCTCCAGGGCCTGACTGACATCCGATCTCTCCTCGAGGCACTGCGATCTCCAAAAGATGCGGGATCTCAAAGGTATCTGGTGATGGCCAGGGATCGAGCGACAGGAGGCTGGTTGGGACGGACGAGCGGCCCCTGAAGGGAAGCTGGAGATAAGGCGCAGCACCTGCTTCTGCAAATCCTGGGGGTCGGTAGCGGGGCCGTGCCAGACAGTGCGAAGTGTCGCACTCTCCCCAGATTTGCGCAGGTTTCGCGTGCGAGCTGCGGTCCCGCTTGGGCGTGGCGGCGCATGTTTTGCCTTCGCAAGGCCAATCGAGGAGCTGGCTGCGCGCGAAAGTGCCGACTGCTGCTCTCGCGGAGTGACGCGCAGGGAATTCCGGAGAGTTCGGCTCCCGCCTTTGCGCGGCCCACGGTTTTCTTTTTGCCATGGCGTCGGCAGCGGGGCCACACGAGCGCCTTCGGTTCGCCATCTGTGAGTGCGCGCACGCTTGTCCCGATGTCCAGTTGCGCTGGATTTGGCTTGAATTTTATGGTAAGGAAGTTGGGAGAGGGCGGGGCCCAGGGATTCGTTCGAGCGGGCTAGCTTGACTCCAATCTTTAGTTTTCCATCCAGAGGCTCACGCCGTTCCGCCGACTTCCGAAATGAGGATGGCCGTCCGTAATCATTTACGTCTCCCGCATCCCCAGCAGTCCACTGACATCAAGCGGCCAACAACGCTGAGCATAAAGACCTGGGAGCCTTTTAGGATGCCCCTTGATCATTTTGGAGGTCTCGTAGGGCCCGTTTGGGAGCCTTCGAGGATTGCTCGAGGGGTTTTGGGGTATTTCTTGAAGTCTTTTTGGAGGCCATCGATCCACAAATAAAGGGTCCCACGTGCCGATGCTGCAAGTCCGAGTCCAAAGTTCCAGCCCTGGTCCTGGTCCCAGCCCTGGTGCTGAGTCCCAGTCTCAGTCATGGCCCTGGTCTTCGCTCTTCTCCTTGTCGCCGCCGCCATCGCCCATCTTCTCGTCGTTGTCCGTGGCTGATTTCTGCGTCGGCGCCCCGGGCCGCCTGGGCACCAGGCGCAGGCGGAGGCGAAGGCGCGAGGAGGACGACGTCTTGGCTCCAGGCGCCCCCAGGACGGCCGCGGGAAGAAGAGGAAGAGGCGGACTGCGAGGAAGAGGAGGCAGAGACACCGCCCACTGTGTGGCACGTGATTTTTCCTGCGTTTCCCGACGAACAAGGCGGCATCTGCATCATTTTTCGGAGGCCCGCGCTGATTTCTCGGGTCTGCGTTGGAGCCTCCTGGTGGCGCCTCTGGCGCCGCCCCTGGCGCGCTCTGTGCTCCAGGCAATGGGGGTCCAGCGCCCATCCAAGAGGTGCGCCTGGACCTCCGAACGTTTATGCTTATGAAGCATTGTGCAGCAGAGGCCGCGGCATACACCAGCCGCGGCACAGCGCGGCTGTGAATTTACACAAGTGAGCATGATTCATCGTCCGTGTATCCGTCGTCCGTTGAATCCTCAGGCTCTAGTCTTCTTTAGGGGCCATTCTATCTGAAGAGCCGAATGTTTTTACCTTTCCTTCCTTTTTCGGGGGCGGGCGGGAATCCAATCTACCTCCATCGCGCTTCTTCCGAACAATGGCTGGTGGCTTTGGAGCAGGTGTAGGATGGGTCAAGCAATATATCTGCAGCGATATGAGTTCGCTAGGCGACAGGGCAGGGTCCATTTCGATCCGATCGATCCGATTCGATTTCGATTCCGGCCGGCCCGATCCGACTCGATTCTGATATTCCGACGATCTGATGCGGCCCAATGCTCACATGGCGCTGTTGTGCATCTTGGCGCATCCGATCCGATTCGGTTTCGAGTCCGTGCCAATGCAGCTCTGATGCACATTTCTATTCTGTCCGATTTGCAGATTCGGTGCTGACTGATCCTGCGTTCTTTCGAAGGCGAGTCCATACGCCAGATTGCCTGTTGCTGCTCATCATCCTGCACGGTGTTTTTTTCGCATAGCCGCAGCTGGTGTTGGTGAGCCCTTCGGGGTCCGATTGGTTGGTGTTGCTGGTGTTTTCGAGGCTGTGTGTTGCGGCTTTGGAGGTTCTATTTGGCTTAGGCCGCATTCATTCTTGTAGCCATGAATGAAAGGATTGCGTTCTTGGATCTAAATCTCCGAGGTTTTCGTGTGCGAGTTGTTGCTGCGTACTTCCCTCACTCCAAGTACGCCGATGTGCACGTTCAGGAAGTATACAATGTATTGCCTACGTTGAGGACAGAGGCGAAAGCTATGCGTTATCATTTTTTCTCGGGGCCGATTACAATGCCCAGGTGGGCAGCCAGACAGAGTTTGACGACTCGGCTGTGATCGGCACATTTGGACTGAGCGAAAACGAATCCAGAGGACAGTGGCTCAAACAATGGGCGACTGTGCAAAGCCTCTTGCGGTGCACCACTTTCTTCTCAAAGCAGCCGGCAGGAAGAACGACACATACAAGTACGACGGGGACAGCTCGGCAGATCGACTACATTTAGACAGACAGAAAATCCTGGACGAGAGTGTGGATCGGAGCGCTGCTCAGACCTCGGTTCGGACCACATTTCTGTGAAGATGACCCTTCGCATTCACCATCGGCGTCGCGACGTAGGCAACGGGCAACTCTTACACGGCAGGCGCTGCAGGGCTCCATGGAGAACAGTCTCGGCGACTGGGTATGCAAGCACATTGACCGAGGTTATCCTTATTGCAGCACGGTCAGGTGATGTTGAAGAGCGGGCTGCGCGGCTCGAGTCCGCCATGGTGGAATCGGCGTCGCTGAATGCAGCCACCAGCAATAATGATTAGAGCGGTGCTGCCAGATCGCAGGAACAGCATGCCTTGACGAATATTGCCGGGGCAAGGCGAGTGGACATTAGCAAAGATACCAAAAGCAGTGCGAACACTGCGAAGGGTTTTGGCAGATGATGCTAGCAACGAGATCCTGACTAAGCTTTCAGGACTGGCAAACATACCACGGATCAAAGCGCGAATCAAACAAACTGTTTATATCTTGTATGCTGGATAGTGAAAAGACTGTCACAACAAGTCTTTGGATTGCAAACGTGCACGCGTTTCGGTTTCTGTCTACGAGGAGCTATTTGCATTGAAGTGTTCGGTACTACCTATCCTTGTTCTTACAGTAGACGCTGTACAGGGAAGTGTGCCAGAGTTTTCTATCAATGAGGTTCGAGAGGCAATCCGACAACTCCAAAAAATCGCTACGTATATAACCAATGCGTTGTTGGAGTGCTGATCATTGAAGGTGGCGACGTGTTGGTTGAGTCGTGCAGACGCTGAGCCCCTGCAGTGTAGGAGACAGTCTGTGATTGCCGGTATTCTGAAAACTGGAGACGAAAGACATGCCGGCAACTATCGACCTCTCACAACTACTCCCGTGCTGTACAAGCTTTTCTCCAGGCTGGTGTAAACTAGGCTCTTACAAATTCTGGGCGCTGGCCAAAGCCCTGAGCAGGTTGGCGTTCGCAGCGATTTTAGCACGGAGTGCAATTTGTTTACACTGCATCAAATCCAGGAGCAATCAGAAGACTTCCAAATCCCGCAGTGGTGTGCTGCTATAGTTTTTTTTTGTTTGGTTGTTTTTTTCTCAAAAAAGCATCTCATCCAGCACAACACGAGGCACTATGGAACGCCATGGCTAAGCAGGAGTGCCGATTCCGTACATGCGCTTGATGTGCAAAGCATGCAGTGGACAACAAGGGCGGTTAAGGACAGACGTGACCAGTCGGCAGTTCGGCATCTCCAGGGGGACCAAGCACGGGGACCCGTGGAGCACGCTGCTGTCCAACGCCCTGCTTGAGGACATCTTCGGGGGAGTCAAGGAGAAGTGGCAGACCGGAAATGCTGGTCGCAATTCGGATACACAAGAATTGAGCCGATTGACAAACATGAGGTTCGCGGATGACGTCTTCCACTTTGGGCAGAGTTGGCAGCATACTGTCCGAACGATTGCAGACGCGCGGAGTTGAGGTGCCTCCGCGGAGCTTCTG